TTACTTCTACTCGAAATGGAAGTAATCCCAACAGTTATGAAACAAGAGAGCCCTCGAAACCTAACTTTTCTTCGTATATAAAACATTGGTTTAATCAAGGTAGAGGACCCGTGAAGGGAAGGCCTGATATCTGCAAGCATGCGAACCAGAGCTTAAGCCCTCCGCTCAGTGAAGCGGCAGTGTATGTGTTTCTAACGCCTTGAGAAATGGGGCCTGGAGTGAAATGCACTCTGGGACTGTAACCGAGTGAAATCGGTCAACCAGAAAGAGAAGGGACGGATCCACAAGACAATTAAGGGATCCGGATAGAAGGCCCGAGTCGGATAAGCCCATCCAAAGAGAGGGGTCGGGGTAAATTGCAAATGTGACGAGGCCACACTAGATTTTCCACAAAAGGACACACATTTTGACGAGTCGAATGTAACCAAGTGGGAAGTTGTGATAGGGCGGCAGTGGGAGAAGAGGGTAAAGAGTAGATGGATAGACAATGACAGAAAGAGGAGTGACAGTGTAACCGTTTTCGGCAGAACGGTTGTCGAGGCATTGGCCACACACATTTGTGGGTTGGCACACAAACGATTAGGATATGGCAAGTCATAGACTTGGTATTGGCGATAGACACAGGATAGACGAGGCGGCGATTGGAGCTAGTTGGCTGATAGTAGGTTTTACGAGACCTGGTCCGTGTAGTAAAGATATCACACGTTTGGTTAAAGGATCGGCTTCACTTGTCTCTGACTAGTTGTAGTGTGGTGCAAAGAATGTCAAGACTCACTGCAGATGCCGACGAAACGTCTGAGAATTTTCCACGTCCACGGTCCGACTCTGGAAATGATCATGCATACTATTGACTCCGGACTAGGTGTGTTCCTTTAAGTCTTCCTACCAATATGACCAAGTTGTGAAAACAAGGTCAGACAACTTATGTGCAACGAAAGGAGACTGCGACCACACAAAAGGCCACACCATCCACGAGGTGAGCTCCAAATTACAACTTCAAGAACCTGCGCCGGGGAAAATCTAGCGTATGATTCTTATTAGCATTGATTTCAGATCAACCTGAATGGAAGACAATGTTTATTTACTCCAGTCGTATAATGAATCCAAAACTGGTCCAACGATCGTTGTTCGACATTGCCCTGAATACCGATTGTGCTCTGAACAATGGGTAAAAATGCCAGACGCTGTCGGTATTCCGATATGAAGATAAGCTTGGGAAATATGGACCAAGACGCATATTAAGATCGTTTCACCTCAACCAAATGGACTTATTTGGGTAAGTGAACATTGCTATCCCTTAAAGGTGCACTGACAGAGGAGACTTACCCACGCAAAACCAAGAAGCTCTTGGCCAAACTCAAACGACATTATGATAGTAACGAACCTATCCATTACCAATTTTGACTGCAGTCGAGTGACGCTCTGAAATCATTGCAGTCAGCTGGCAATATCCTGATACACAGTGGGAAGCAGTCTGATTGACGGGACTCTCGGCTTGACCGACATTCGTCGTTGCGCACAGCTAGCCAGGAGAATATACTCATGTGGGCGAACAAAAACTGAAAACACCACAGCGCCCAAAAACCCTTCGCCCCTTTCACCGGAATTTCTAAAGATGGATCGCGTACGAATAAAAAACGAAAAGATAATCAGAGTGGGAAGGGGCCTCACGGGAAATTCAAAACGAAGATGCCAGAGATGTGATGATTAAAATAAGGAAAAAGTATTACGGCATCCATCCTAGAACCTACGAGCGACCAAGACAAACTTAAACAGAAAAGCAAAGGCAGAGTGCTAGGTGAGACAAGAATGTGGATAAAATGTTTATTTCATATAACAAGCGATTACTTCAAATTTTAGGCATCAATCTCGAGGTGACAAAAATGCAGGTACAAAACGCTGGCACATTTAATATGCCATGCATGATACAGTTTTGTCAAAGAATACCGGCATAGGTTTTGAGTACGGTTTAATGCAATGCAATTTTCAACAATTTGAACAAGATGTGGTTGATAAAGGGCTGCGAACCAAGGATTTTACATACAGGCGAAGATGGAAGCTAAGAGACAGCAGGTTTAATGCTCTCCATTAGCCTTAGTTTCAGGCGGATCTGGAGTCTCCTTTGCTTTTTCTGGGGTTTCTGGATGGTGGGGCTTCTCTGCACAAGTACTAACGCATGTATCACCGGCTGGCATGTCGAGATCAGGAAGGTCTGAAAATGTCAAGGAATTGATAAGCAATTATGCAATGAAGAGTAGGCAGATAATATGTGGAACTTACCATCATCATCTGAATCTACATCTGCATCCAGATCGTCGTATTCATTTGTGCCTCCGAAACTAGACATCTGAGACATCATATTTGAGAAGTCCATGTTTCCTCCACCGGCGTCGTAATCTGCCTCATCCTCATCGACCCAACGCTCGAAATCGGTCTTTAGCCATAAGGCCTTTTCAGAGGACTTTAATAACCTTGGCCAGAACGTAGGTGTACATTTTTTTAGCACCATCACTATTTGCCTGTCAGTAGACATTTGACGAGAGGACTGCGAGGATAGATAAAAGCTAAAAGCTTACATCTGGATCAACTTTGTCGAACAATTGGATCAAGACTTCGTAGTCAGAGGGTTTTGGGGTACCTGCTTTGCCTCTGAAAAAAATTACTTAAAGTGAAAGCTAACTTGAAGCTCAAGCCATCATTAGTGAGATCTAGCACTTTATTTTTTATATCCCCAAGACATATCGTCAAGTAAACCAAATCCGCTCGCTGAGCCCATAGCACAGTTGGGGTAAGGCTACAAAATAGTACAGGAAAAATGAACGCACGCTTTGGAATCTTTGGCCATGGATAGAGCACGGAGACCGGGCGACCGATAAACACGAGATTATTCGACTGCGACATGCACGTTCAAACAAAAACATTATAAATTTAAAATAAAAAGTTCTTAATTTTGATAACTCTTCAAAGCGTAAATTGTTTTTAAATACTTATAGTTATTTGTATATAATGAATTGCAAAAAAAGTTTATTTTGTGTGCTAAACTAATGCAAGACTTCATTTTCATTTTTAATAATAGCGATTTATATTTAATTTTTAAGATAAGAATAAAATTAAACAAGGTTATACAACCTTATCTTAATAGATCGAAAATTAATTAATTTTCTGCTTCATCTTGATCTTTGTATATAAAAGCATGTATGAAATCTAATGAGATGCAAGGTCCCAATTTTTTAGCTGTTTAAATTAATTGCTTGAAAAAATG